CAAAATCCCCAATTCAGCCCGCAAAATTGGCTGGGACGTTAATGGGCTTGAAGGGTGATCACGTGGACGCAACTCCCGCGGCCTGAAGTTGGCACAGCGAAAACCAGCCGTCGGGTAGGTGCGCAATTGATAAATGGGCCCTCTAGATGGCGCGCAACAAACTACTTTTAATGTTTATTAATTAATCAGCGCCTGTAAAGGATGGCGGCGTCATTTATCATCCTTCCATGCCGCGCTCATAAAAGCTGTTTTTCATTAGGAAGCGACTTTCGGGGGGCGGCGTGGAAAAAATGCCGCCACCGAGCCCTGAGAGTTGCACCGCTTTCAACTTTGATCTTCAGCGGCGGGGCGTCAAAGGGGGCGTGAAGTGGACCTGCTCGAGGAGTTGGACCGCGTCAGCCCCAACTTCCACACCAAAGGGACACTAATATGTGCTGGATCGTGTTAAAGTTCAGGTTGAATCGAATATCATAAGTTGCCGGCGCTCGAACTCCGCGCCGTAACTCCCGCAACTTTATGTCTATCCAGTTGCAAATTGGGGTTTGGGGGGGGGAGGGGGGGGATTGGTTAGTTTAGTATAACCGCCCCTTAATCCAGTGGCGTGCCCAACAGCAAACGACTCCTTTTTCCAAAAAGGAGTTGTGGAGTTGTGCGCGGGGCGCCCTGTCAAGGAGGGCAACGGGGCGCGTATAAATCGGCCCTCATCGCCGATCCCGCACAAAGGAAACTGTTTAGATCAGCGACAGAAGTGAATTAAAGCGGCCATTGTTATCTGGGCCGTAATGGATGTGGATTTCCGGTTCCGGCTTTGGTATTTCGTGGATATTGCGGCCGATCTGGCGCAAAAGTGCAACAGACCGGGAAACGTTGCAAAATCGCCCGCCAGACGTTGGTGGGACGTTGCTGGGCGCTTGCCTTGCAACGTACTTTTAACGCACTTTCAATGCCCCACTTACCTCTGTGTCGATTCGTTTGTTTGTCGAACATCAGCATGGCGTCCTCGATCTGAAACAGGAGAAGAATAAAAAGGTTTTGCGTCAATTCGGCCTAATTGGGGGAGAATCGGCCCGAGCCAGTGTTGCCGCTCTGTGGATTTTGGCCGGCAATTTCCACTTTTAATAGTTTATTTATCGCGTGCGGTCCCGCGGGCGCCGTAAAAATGCCGGGCCCGAACGATTCCCCTGGACATTAAGCGGCAGCCGCGCTTCAAGATGATCGTTTCCGGCTCCAAGATCCCCAACTTAATTTCGCGCCTTCCAGGTTTCGACTCTCGCCCCCCCCAGATCAACCCCCAAATCCCCTAAAAACGTTTGGGAAAAAACCATCCAGTTGGCGGTTTCCCCTATTAACTGATCAGTTCGCGGGCAATAATCGGGGGGGATTCGGATTCGAAACGTTTAATGAATTAATGGCATTTGGGCGTCCCCGATGTCCGCTCGGCCGGACAACGAGCGGCTTTGTGTCTTGGGAGCGCGCCCAATTGCCCCCCGGTCCCCCGTTTCGCTTAATTGGTTAGCGATCTGCCCCACATTTCCCCCCATTGACCTGATGATGACTCAGGATCCACATGCCAAACAACTCTCAACCTGCCCTTTCGATCAGTTTTCCCCCAAAAAATCAGGGTCGCCCTGGTCAACTTGGACACCCAAAAGTGTCAGCAGCCATGGGTAACACACACACACTGTGTCGAGTTGCGCCATTGAGTTGATGTGTCTCTGTGAGTTAACAATCTGGAAGACAGCAGCTGATGAGTTATGACTCATAGCTTTATTTTTTTATTAGTTGGCGCAGCACTGCGTCGCACCGACGGGCACGACACTGATTTATTGGAGGCAACTGAACGAAAGGCAAGTTTCCAGGGTTTTTGACATTTAGGTGTTGAGTCATCATCAGGATTTTGCGCTTCTCTATGCAGGCCCCACTTTACAATCGATTTTCTCAAAACCGGTCAAGCTGCACATTCGCTTTTGAGTGCGTTTTATCGAGAAAAGTGCGTTCTACAGGCGGGGAAAGTTTGGAACTTGAGCCATCATCAGGCTGTTTTTGGCGAAATTTCTCCGAAAAAGTGCTTTATCGATTTTCCGGAGATTTCACACACACACACACATAGACCAGGAGCTCGAATGTTAATTAAACCAGCTGGGCGGCCAATCGGCCTTCCAAATGGGGATCTTGCGGCTTAAATGAGCG